GGAAGCACAGAGGCTATGTGTATACGTGGAGTTGCATTAGGTGACCACCGTAGCGGTGTAATTTAGTGAGTACCAGAAAGCCCCTTACTTGCCTAAAATCCACCATAAAAAGAGTATTTCCTCAGGAATTGCTTCATTGCTTATTTCAGGTGTTTTGTGCTAAAGGTACAGAAACCTCTCCAGGGCTTTATATTTCAAACCGTATCTTATTCACTCAACACCCCAAGCCTTCAATCAGTTCTAAAAGGAGAGCTGTTTGAAGCAGGAGGGGACATCAAAAGGCAGGAAAGGTGAACAGAAGCGCAGCTGAAAGCGCAGCGGGCGGGCTCAGCAAACATCTCCTGAGGTACCACCCCAGTCGGCACTGTTCAATCAGACCTAACGGCAGTCATAGCCCCAGGCTTTAGACTCCAACCCGGGGGGGCACGTAGGAATTGGCAGGCACCCACCAGCCAACTGAACTCCTGAGGCTAGAGGACAAGTCATTGCAACTATTCCAGAATCCTAAGATTCCATCAATCACCCAACCCTGTCATTTTGTCCTTTGAACTCTCTCTCTGGTGACTGCAGTCTAACCATTCCCTCCTTCCTTTCTCATCACTGCTGGCTGATTTGACACCTTCCATCCCTCTGACTGGAGCACAGCAATAATCCCCAGTCCCACTCCTGGACTGCCTCTTCCCCCCGAAACAGGGGCCCTGGGGCAGGGCCTTGGGCGTCTATGTCCCACACTCACATTCTCGGCACCTAAAGAATGCTGGGCACACAGTAGGTGCTCAGTACATGTTTTTGTTGAATGGTGTGTCACCCTGATTCATCTTCTACAGTACAGCCTCAGTCGCGCGTTCTCATTCTGAAAGCTCCCTCTCATCTTAGGAAAAAATATAGATCTTTGAATAAAATTCAAGTTGTTCATAAAATGAGCCTAAACCACCTCTTTCTAACTTCATATTGAACACCCACCAAGGCTTATACAGGTGTGCTCAAATCACCCTGGCACTGACCATTTTCCTCACTACTGAGCTGTGGTGACACTTGCTCTGTCCAGAGTGTCCCCTTGCCCAAACCAGCCCCCTGCCTCCTCCACTGTTTTGAACTCTTTACAGACACCCATGCTAATCCAGATCACCAGTGCACCTCCATGTGTCACAAATGTTAGGCCCCTAATAAATGTTTGTTGCATGAAAATGTATGTGTGTTGGAGAGAGAAAAAGAGGGAGATTGATTTCTCTGATCTTCTGGACCAAACTGATCCCTTCTATCCCCGGTTTCCACCTCATGGTGCTAATACCTCTTAAGTCAAAATATACTCTGGCATTAAGGTATAGCTCTTTCTGTACACTTCATGACATGCTCCCAGAGAAAAACGTCGATTCCCTGAGGGCAGACTCTATGACATCTACATCCTTCTATCCGCAGGGTCCCTAACACGTGCCGTATCAGGCACTCAAAAAATGTTTGAAATTTCAAGTCACCTACTTCAAACTGTTTGACAGCAATCTCTGGCAGTTCATGTCATTCTTTAGGGTTATAAATAAATGCATGTAAATAAAGCTGGATCTAGACCTGCGCACTCCTCCCTGAGCATATGGCTATAAATGTTCTAAGACAAATGGATTTGGAAGAAACAAATGTAAAAGAATGATTCAGTGAAATAATCTTTACAGTCCTATCCAGCTATAAAGTTTGGGGTTTGGGGTTTGTGGGTAAAGACAGTCTCCTTGACCCCGTCCTTATACCTTACAGTGCTGTTCTTCTGCCTCCTCCCCCCAAAAATGCATAAGTCTGTGTACCCACACCCTCTCCACTCAGGAAAGCCTGTGACACTGAGGAGTCCCATCCACCTCATGCATGACGTCAGCTGAGCATCTAGTTGCGTGTTTTAAAATTTTTTTTTCTTCTTTATCGCTTGTTTTTAAAGACTTAAGTACAGCTATAATGGGGTCTTTTGGGAACTGATAAAACTCCTTTCTTTTCATTAACTAGGAGAATTCCCATGATCCAGAAGAAATACACAGTTTTAAGGGACAGACAGTTGGGCNTTTTTTTTTCTTCTTTATCGCTTGTTTTTAAAGACTTAAGTACAGCTATAATGGGGTCTTTTGGGAACTGATAAAACTCCTTTCTTTTCATTAACTAGGAGAATTCCCATGATCCAGAAGAAATACACAGTTTTAAGGGACAGACAGTTGGGCAAATATTTCCTCTATCTCCAGCACCGTGCACAGGGCCTACCACCCAGCCAGCACCTAGTGAATGTTTGTTGACTGTATGAATGCAGTCATGTAAGGACCACCCTAAACTTAAGTTCAACAGTGATCAAGGAAGAATTCTCCTCCAAGTCCTTAGAAAAGTACATGTTATCCCATGGGGCCAAAGAGCCAGCCTAAAATGATCTGCTAAGTAAGAGGAACTCAGTCATAGAAAGTAGAACCACTGTCTTCCATAGATTTTTTTTTTTAAAGATGAAAATTAGCTTTTAAGTTACTCCTAATAAATCAATCCTTTTTCTTCTCTTAAACTTTTAATTATGAAGGGAAGTATAACAAAATTTACTGCACAGAGATTTGGTAATTCTGGCAGTACTTCATTCATCACTTAATCAGCGTTCAAGCAGAACTGATGTCCTTGACATATATAATCAATCTTGATTCCTCCCACATTTGCTTTTCATCCGTTTTGAAATTTGACTACAGACACTAAGGATTGAAGGCTTATTTTCACATTATGGTTTTGTTACAGACAACCCATATATACATATAATAATAATCAGAATATTGATACCTATATATTGATCTCCACATAGTCTATTTAAAAACAATTATTTTCTCTCCAGTGAATTTATGGAGATTAATGGCATTGAAACCAAATTATATTATGGATTAATGGGAAAATGGGACTGGGTCATTTTTTAGCTTAGTATGGCATATTTTTCTTTTGGAGATGGCATATTTATTGTTATTGATAAGCCAGAACTACTTGTTTATGATACATTCTAAGAAACTTTTCCAAAACTACATTCAAAAGGCAGCTGGGCATGGAAATGCAATCGAGCCCCTAAAAGTGAGCAGGTGGGATTAAGTTTACCTAATAGCTTTTGCTTTAGAAGGTATTTTTATGATCACTACTGTGACTACAGAAGTTCTGATTCCATGACTCCTTTCCTCTTAACACTTAATAATTATGACATTTAAAAACATTATTGTTGCACCCAAAGATTAGTGATATATAATTTCTGTGTCCACTTACCGACTATCCATCCTCCCACCTATATACACTGCTTGTCGACATCGTGGGGTTTTTATAAGAGGATTGCAGTATAGACTTTACAGGTAGAGAGTGTGGAAAGTGAACAGGTGAAGACCCTTAATTCATGACTGCATGTATATTTGAACAAATGAGACAAGGATTTTGTTATCTGGTTGTTAGAAGAGTATTTTCTCCTCCATAAAAGGCGATACCATGGTATTTCAAGATTGTTAAACACTAATAAGTCTATGCACACCATGTGCTGCAGAAAAGCTAGAATGAACGTTAGCTTTTGTGCTAATGATACAAGAGGCATGCTCAAATTTGCAGTCTCCAGGTGTTCAACCAGATCTACAGACCAAGAATCAGGAAGCCAGAGGGATAATAACAACTCACATTTACTGAGGTCTCCCCAGGCCAAAGTAGAGAATGGGTCATTTAATGGAACACTCTTAAT